ATATATATATATATATATATATATATATATATATAATGCTAAAAATCAAATTTGCCTTCAGTTACTTTATCCCGCTTTTAACTGCTTCCGTTTGCTTTCTCCAATCTTGGATTTGTTCGAAAATCGTATCAAAACTCTTGTGCCACCTGCTTGCCAATCGTATGCGAGAGCTGAAGGCCTTTGGTCTTCGGAATGAATGGAATTCGATTTGATCACCGGAGTTTTAGGCAGGCCGTCTATTCGTATTTAGCATACGTTCACATTTGGCCTCTTGTGATTCAATTTCGTTTTGATTGCATAGCCTACATAGTCATCCTTATATGCCCTTTGCAACTAGCGATCATAAAGCGAGACTAACATTTTGTCTGAGAGTAAATTGTGCATTGAGATATTCAAATATAAGGGCTTTAAGTTTAAAAGTTGCATTGTATTGGATGTATAAGGCGGATCATTGCTCTCCAGCAAAGTGTTTAAGCACCATTAATTTTGGTAGCCATCTGTTACGGGCTTGATACTTTTGTTCTTGTTTGTTAAACGCTAACCAAACAGCCACTTCGAAAGAAATTATGAAAGAGTTCACATTTGAACCACCTGTTAAATGCCACCTACCTTTGATATCGTCTGGTCAAACTTGGGATCTCCAAGCCGACTGCGCCACGCATAACTGAACTTGAAGGATTCAATGATTCGATGATACGTCAGCACGGTGGCGTTCACGTCATCGCGAGCTGACGATGTCATGTTATACCCTACGGTGGAAACATTCCATAAAAATAGGCTGGTTCTAATAATTTTTCGAGTTAAATATTACCCAGTTTAGCTTGACATTAAAACAAGTTGTTGTAAGATAATAGGTCAACCGAACCTGCTTTTAATGTAATTGTATTTATTTTATCCTCATTTAGCTCCAGCAAAGCTAAGGTCGCACTTGCTCGTTTCTGACAGCCTTGGGGCACTTGCCAGGTGATGGCGTGTAATTCAATTCATCCAAAAGGCAATAAATATAGGCAGTAAATTGAAGATTTAACAACATACTTTGAAGGGGAACTTTCCGTTTGCTTTTGGAGAGTCTTCTTTAAAAGAAAGTTGAACAATCGTTTTGTCAACAACTCCTACCTCTTAAAATGTTTAAGATCAGTGCCAGCACAGCGCCACTTGTGGGTGGTGGGGTCAGGTACATTTTCATGTCCCGGATGTTACTCTGGTATGGGTCTCTTAAAATCCACGTATAACTCCTTAAATCCTCTTCAGTCAAGTTCCCATTGACTTCCTTAATGTCACGCAATATTTTACTAGCGAGTGTTCCATTGTAAAAGGAGTCAGGATTGTCACGCACTGTTTCCAAAGTCTCTGCGTACTGTACGTTCTTAATAACATCGCCTTTTTTAACCAGCTTTTTGTTTTTAGTAAGGAGCAGCTCACTGAAATATTGAAGTGAAATGTTATTAGTATTGTCAGGGCCGTTGGAGAAAAATATAAAACTGAGTTCCCCTCGAAAATCGAACCCCAGGCGTTTTAAATCCTTGCTCCGAAGCTTCCCTTCCCCTCATTGGTAGTCGATTGTAGTCCTTTCTTTAAACAGTACTCTGTTTGTGATGGCTGATCCCCTCTGCCCACCCTGAAATCCATGTGATCCCCCCAAAATATCCTTTCCCCACCCCTCCCCTCTTTGGGCGATAAGTAATGACACCTGTAAGCGCGGTTGCAATGCGCCTAACAGATTTTTTTTGGTATCTGAATATAAAAATATAAACGATCGAGCGGGTGATTTGCATTGGAGTCAAGTTCTGAATTAGTCTCACCTCAATCCCGGGTCGTTTTCAATATCATCTTTGATTCCTTTTGTCGTTTTCAGTGCATCTTCCACAGCTTGAGTTACTTTAAATCCCTTTCTGGCCAAATCAATGGCGGGTTGAACAAGTTGTTTCCATGGTAACCGTCCATGTCGTTTCCAAGCCTTGTGCATACCGCGCACTTCACCGGGAACAGCGATAGCCAGACCACCTTAAATGACAAAACAATTTCGTGGGTGATTTTTTATCTATTTTTTTTTTTATTTTAGACATAAATCGATGAATCGTAATTATACTTAAACTGAGGTCTGTTTTGGAAAGGTTTTAAGTTTAAGAATACTTTTAGCATATCTACGGTTAACCTCCCTTGTAATCATGTGGCTTAAGCCAATCTCTATGGGGACATTTTTATTAATATTTTCCGATGAATATTAAAAGGAAATCTTGCGAAGATTCTTCACAGTCTTTTTCAATAAAACTTGATTGGCCAGTTTACGAGACAGATATGAGAGGTGGATACCAAGCATCGAAAATTTGTGTTTGTGAGACGAGTGAACTGTAAAGGTAGCAAAATTTATTTGTACTGGTGGATTGAACATTAGGACACGAACACTGATTTATCACCATTTATTAATGTTGTGGTTCAATTTTATCCTAGGTTCAAATTTTAATTCCCTTTGTTTCAAACTCATTATCATACACATTACAATACCCAAAAACGAAAGAAAGTTAAATTTGAACCAAGGATAAAATTGAACCACAACATTGATATTGCATACATTAAGAAAATAATACTATCGATGAACTTAGTAAAATCAAGTGAGCAATCGACATAATCTTGGAACCAAGAAAAACAATTATAAGTTAAAAACGAATTCAAAAATGCGTTATAAACTACGGACAGAAACGACGGACCTTTCCTGGCTTTACTTTCGTTGCCCTTAAACATGTTCTTGTGGGCTGTAGCTGGGGCAGTTTCTCTGAAGTCGATGACTTTGACCTGCTTTGATGTTTGATTATACACCAACATCACTCCCCCACCTCCTATCCCTGATGAGTGCATGCTGACCACACCCAAACAGAACATGGCAGTGATGGCAGCATCCACTGCGGACCCGTTCGCGTTTAGGATATTTTTCCCGATCACGGAGCACCGCGGTGTATCTGTAACAACGGCCACTCTTTTGTAGGGTCCACCAGATGATTGATCGGGGGAATCTTTTGTTAAGAAATATGCAAGGAGGCCAGCGCCTGTACCCAGGAGTAAAACCGCCACTGCAACCACACCTCCTATGATCCTTCTCAAAAGAGAAGAGTCGGATTAATTTATTGGCTCGGTTTTCGGGCGCATAAAAGCCAAATGCTGGCGTTTTCCTCAAAAAGGGACGAGCTCGAAGGAATATTGATTACAATCTGTCACAGGAAATCGTATATCATAAAAATACTTCCTCTTTAGCGTTCAGTTGTGGCCATTAACACAAGACATTCGTTTATCATAGACTTCCTTTTTACTAATAAATAAACAAGCCAAGTGTTTGAATGTCCCTCAATGAACGCGTCTGAGTTGTGATATTTGTCACGCAAGCGGAGCGTCTATTTTGACTTGTGTTACATTGTTCTGAAAAAAAAATTTGAATATGCATCTAAATTTCTTCCCAGGGTCAAAGTACGCACATATTGTATTTGAAAACATTTCTTGAAACGCTGGGGACTTCTCGCAACAGTATTTTACGATATATTCGTCAAAATACATTTTCAAACAGCGATGGGATATCGGCATCAAGTTAAATAAATGCACATTTTCGGTTTCTATATAAAAAAGAGCAACTGGGGGCTGTCGCGGTACACAGTTTCGGCCGGTTATTTACACGAGGTCTAACCCAAACTGCGGTTTGACGCAAGCAGTGGGCC